AGATTTCTTTCACAGCCTTAATGTGATATGACAAATGGGGTAAATAGTGTTCTTTTAATTGACCGTTTTAATACACCAAACTCGAAAGTATGATCCATTTTGCGCAATTGTCGATTTTTATAATTGCTATTAATTGTCAATAGCAATTAATATTATAAGTGATGATACTTTATATAAGCGTGTTTCCACAATTTTAGTCTTGACTTAATTTTTAGGATAACTTTTTCTTGGTAAATTGTAGTTTCAATAAATCAGAATATAAGGCAAATACGTTTCACTTTAAGGTTGTTTAACATTATTAATATTGAGTACTAATATCAATTACTGAAATTGGTAGTTATATTTAGTATTATAATGCTTTCACAATTTCAACGTTGGCTCAACTGTAATTTTTTGAGAATGTGTTTGATGACGAGATTCGTAGCTCGACCTTAAAAAAGGAAACTCTATTTCTTCTTTAGTCTGTGGTCGTTAGGCTCGACTGGGCTGCTTCGATTGAACCCTCCATCGGTTGCTGTGAGACAGTGTTGAGCTGTCATCGGTCATTCTGGTTGACTGGAAGCAGCAGATCAACGACCCATGTCACTCCTGAAGATGTCACTTGTTCTTGCAACTTTTCTTGTTTTAAGAGCGACCAAGAGAAACGCACATTGTCAGGAGTCTTTTGGACCGTGCAGTCCCGTGAACTTGGTATATTTCCCGATGTTTTTCTGGCAATGTCAGTAAACCTTATCGTAGTTAGCAGCACATATTGTCTTGTTTGTTTGGCTGTCATCAGCGCATCAGGTAGCAATATTATTTCCATATTTGTGAAAGCGAGGTCAAACCACTTTCATACAATGAATGCAGATCGCGATCATATTAAAGATCCCACCATCATGGTCCTTATTTCTTTGAATATGCTATGAAATTAAGATTGTAAAACAATGCACCAATTACCGTCGGACAAAAAAGACAAAATTTTGTTGCTAAGACTGATTAGGCTCACTGATATTGCCGACTAGGATCCTGGCGATACGTTTGGGATTGTACCAAACGGGCAATGTGCATTACTTTAGGTCGCCCTGACAACATGACCAAGTTTCGAAAACGAATTCAAAGCACTTCTATAATTGGTTTAATTTATTGGTGCACTTTTTCGTAGAATATGCTCTCTTTCTCTCTCTGTCGATGTATGCCACATTACAAAATATAGCTTAGTATGGTTTCATTGAGATCACTGAGGGCGGTGAGCCAAGGAGTTCTTTGCACAACCCACATGTCATTCGGTGTATGAATTCACTCCAAACAAATTTACAATAAAAACTAAATTTCGTACAATTGTGAATTGCCTTGAAGTGAATGAGTTAGATTGTGCGAAGAAGTCCTCGGCTTATCGCCTAGCGACCGTCTGACATGTGGCAAGAAAATATGCTTTACATAATATAGCAACAAGTATAAAGACAGCTGTCTTCAAGCGAATTTCCTTTTTATGCTTAATATTTTTTTATTAATTGTAAAAATTGAATCTCTCTAAGACACTATGTAGGTCTTCGAAAAGACCTTTTTTCCTTTTTGAATATGTTTTTGAGGCTACCAGTAAATCAAATATATGAGTTGGTAGTCTCAAAAACCTACCCCAAAACGAAATACCTAATGTCCTCAACTTTTATAGCAAATGTAAGTTTGTTTTATCGACAACCCCATCAAAATATCTGATATCATAAAACCCCTGGCCTTCCTGGGTCATATCTGCCCTATGACCCAAGGGTTAACGTGTCGAGAGTACACTTTGCATTATCATGATTCGAGTCCCGCAAAGGATGTTGCTAAGACCTGGGCGAGGTCGAAATTGCAGTCCAGCCTGAATAAGTACCTATTTTGGAAAAGCATAACTTTTTGAAACTCAATGGAAACGTCAGCTCTACTCACATCATTGTGGGAAAATTGAACTACCAATCCTTCATCAC